ATCTTACCTTAATATAAAAGTAACGTTTCTCACTATTCTACATGTAATAAGTCTAACACAAACGGCAGACGCGAGTCGCGAAGCCAACTTATTATTTTCTTCGAAGCAATTATTTTCCGAGAACTCATATAACTTCAATAAAGCAAAAATACATTTAATACCGGACGTTCTGAGATGATTGAATGTTTTTATGGACGTTGATTATAAGTGTTTTGACATATAATTAAATTTGTAGTGATACTTTGTGAATGATTTAAAATCGCAAATGCAATGTTCCGTGACGTTCCGAATTCGTTGAATTGATTCGTCTCGGCACGGGCTACTAAAGCCTATTTGTTATAAATACTAACCTACTTTATTTAAGGTTTAAGTTAACCGAGTATTTGACAATAACCTTTTCATTTAACCAAGAAACAAGTTACACGTGCAGTATATATTTAAAATGGTTTGTAAACAATTGTCATTGTACGGTCAAGTGTCATGGGCGTTTGCAAACTTTTTGTACCGTTGATAGCATAAAGAGCAATTTAAATTCGAAGTGTCCGGCATGGTTTTAACCTCTAAGTTTTTTTTCATTTCACTTTTAAATGACTTCTAGTAAAAGTTTTTAATGAAACATAGATGGCGAGTCTTAGTCCGTAAAAATATTAAAGATCAAAAGAATCAATTTACTTACAAAAGTGTAAGGAAGACTCAATTTGCGGGTGGAAACAGGCAAAAACTACTAGTAATAAATGCCCTGGGTATAATAATGTGTTTTACGGCAGAGAGAAACGACATATGTGTTAGAGTAAAGAGTGAAACGACGAGTTGTTTCTGAGAAAATGCAGACGTATAATAGTGCGTGTGGCCAAATAACGTATGCTTTGCAATTTAACAAGTTATAACAAGTGGATAATGACATAATCCATTGACCTGACGTCCTAGAGTCTCATATCACAAGCGGTGTGAGTCACGCGAATGAATTTAGTACACGAGTAATAGTTTTAATAGAGAACGTCAAACGTAATCCTCGTGTTTATTGTATTGGATTCAAATTCAATTTGAAATTGTACATATCAAGTTTTTAAGTTTTCACGATTCTTACACTGAAATTATTTTTTCCGATTTCAATTGCATATATTTGTTTTTTCAAACAACCAATGTTTCCCTTTACAGGTCCTATGGTCACGGTTAGGCAAGGAACCTGTAAAGGGCCCGAAACGTTTGTTTGTTTGAAAAAACAAATATACGCGATTTAAATCCGGAAAACTAGTTTCACTTCCTGGGGATGTACAGTCAAAAGTAAATCACGCTATATATCACTTTTGTTCGAATATCGCCTCCAGTGCAACAAAAATGTGCTGCCGTCTGTACAGTGTTAAATTTTATCGCTGTTTTCGATAAATTCATTATTAACAATAGAGCTATCAACTAACCTATAAAAATTATATTATTGGTGGAATTATAAATATCAGAAAACAAGCCGACATGGGCGTTAAAATTTTACCTTTAGCGCTTTTAGTGCAACTTTGCAAAGTAACTTTTCCAGTAAGTAGATGACAACCAGTCATTGAGGCTGTGACAGAAACAAGGCTGCAGGCACGGTCGGGTGACGGATAGGCAATCGCCACTTCTGCGAATCGTACTTATTTCGCCATCAGGTGCAATCATGCCTTGTATATATACAGGGTTATTCGTAAAATACTAACAACCTCGCAAGACTATTATTACTGACAATACTAGTCCAGAGCAAAACGCAGGAGCGGGAGTGGGCACGCAAGTTTGAGCTTACTACTAATAATTTCAAATTTATAATAGGTAATTTAGGATAATAATAGATATAAAAGAGTAGTAAAAAACCGACTTCAAAAGTTCGTGGAATTACATCTGTTTGTAAAGTTTTATTGAAATCGGTTAATGGAAAGTGCGCGAAAACGGATTCATCCCCTAGTTTGCCACCCTTAGAGGTGGAATATTTTCTTCAAATTTAAATGAAACCAATACTGAGGTACTCTCTTTCCAACAAAAAAAGAATAAACAAAATCGATTAACAAATGGTGTTATCGCGTAACGTATATACAAAAAAATACAGTCTAACGAAATGGCTGAAAATAAGTTGATAAAGTTAATACTTTACCAACTTATTGGAAATAAGCAAATTAGGTACCTAAAAGTAACTTTCTTTTAGGAATTGAGACTACTTTTTCAGATTTAAATCGCGTATATTTGTTTATTCAAACAAATCAACGTTTCGGGCCTAGGATGCTGCGAGAGGCCATTGAAATTAAAAAACATCCTAAGTTCAACAGAGAAGATGGTGATCTCCGTACCACAAGTTTGGGGTCCAATATTTCCTCTGATGACAAATCCCAAACAGACTGCAGTACTAATATGTTCTAATTCCCATTATTAATTAATAATAAATTTAACTTAATAAAAATTCATATTGTTACAATAAAATAATTTGTAAAACAATGTAGCGTAAATTTAAATGTTTCTTTGTAAAATTAAAAATAAGGAAATTAATTAATAACTTTTGTAACAATAGTGAAAAAATAGGGTGGTTTGCATTAATATTAGACATAACTGGTTGATGACTGTACCACCTCAGTCAGTGGTGACCATGGGACCTGTAAAGGGCCCGAAGCGTTGGTTTCTTTGAAAGAGTTTCATTTCCTATGTGTAACAATCGCGAAAACCGAAGAACTCGATAACCTTCTCTTTCAGTAAAATTCATAATTTGAATAAGCTCATGTCAAATTCAACCTTTAGAGCTTTTATTACTCCTTATAATTAACTTATATTGATCCAAACAAGGCATAAGCAATAATCGTTTCTCTTAATAATCGTTTTCGTCTGTTTATAGCAGTATAAAGATACGTTTTAAATAAACGTGTATACAGGATTATTTTTAAAACACTAACAACCTCACAGGACTATGTTACTTCTACTAACATCATAAACATCAACTTTTCTTCAATAACTTTTTTAAAACATAGCAAATTTATTAAAACTTAAATTTTAAGTGTTTGTTGGACTCTAACACATTTTAGATCTGTATTTCGATGCCTTACTTTCTCAAACACGTATCTTATAAATAGTGATTATTCAGAAGATGGCAAAACTTTACATTTATAGTCTGTTCCAATCCATTTTCAACAAAAAGTAAACAAACCTGTTTAGATAAAATTCTAAAGCAATCACTCAACAAATCGAATAAATAACATTTTCACGTATATTTCGAAGTTTTCGACTTGATATCTCATCACTTTTTCCAACAATATTCATTTGAATAGCATCGTAAAATCGTGTTTGAAAAATGGTAGTTCAAAAGGGAGGTTATATATCATCTATACTTCTATGACTAGTCTATGGTTGCATAGTGCTGTAGGAAAAAAATAACATTCCGCTCATTCAATTAAATTTATTGTAATCGATTGGTAAATCGAAAATTTCAATCGCGATCGAACGAGTATTAAGTGTAAAGATTTGAAGGAGGATTTAAAATTAAGATTTCGAAATTTTAAATATATGCTTTTATAGGTTATGTATTTTTACTATCCGCTAAATAAAACCGCTATGACTCAATAAAACAAAACAATTAATTAATCGATTTTTAGTTTGCATTACAATTGGCCATCACTAAACCGTCTATGGTCAGGTACTGACTTGTTTGTTTACTTTTTGTTTAAAATGGATTGAAACGAACTATATTTTAAATTTCTAATTATATTTTAAAAGGGTGTTTTTTGGATGAATAACTTTTAAGAATAGATAAAAGCTAGTGTGTGAATATGAAGGAAATGTGATGTAAAATCAGCCTGCAAAATTTGTATATACAATGTATTTTTTGCATTTCAGTTACTTTGTGCTTTAAGATACGAATTTGAGAAAGTAAGGCGACGATTTGGTAGTAAGGCACTAAGTTCAATATTCAAGCGTCCTCCCCGACGACCCCCACCCTGCTCCTGCGGTTTGCATCGTACCGCACAGGATTATCACTGTTTAGAGCGAAAGTAATATTATAACGAATTTTTAAAAGATGTTGTTTACTAACACAACATATTTGAAACCGATGATACCTTTGATATTAATCGTTACAAGTCGCTCTTTTGTGATACAATAAAACAATAGGCAGTATGATTAATAATTTTCTCATTCGCGTAACACACGCAACAAATTTTACTAGATAAGATAAAGAGCGACTATCTTGAAAGTTAATTTCCAATTTATACATCGATTTACTCCAAGAAGTAGATAGGATGTGGCCCGTCACAGGCGCCGAATGCAGAACCATTGTAATACCAACGGCCACTTTATCATTATTTTTACGCTTACAATGAACTTCCGAGAAATCCTTGCTTCACAATCGCCGCACACCTGTCTGAGCTTATCGAAATGTCTAACGCGAACAGAAGCCATTGTGCTGTGCGAATGCCAATTGAATTGTCATAAAAGAACTTAGGTCCTTAGCCCGTCATAAAAATGATCAATACCGTGGGGATTATAGCAGTCTCAAATACCCCCTGACCGGGATGGTTGGTGGCGATTGTGGCAATATTTTTCCAGCAATCCCCACTGCCTATGACTAAACATGGCCATTAAAAATCTTGACAAAAAATAACAATTTAGACGTCTTGCTAATAATTATAACACGCAGTTATTTTTAAAATATTTTGTTATAGTGTCTAAATTGACAAGCCTTGACACTTGGTGATTTAAAGAATAATATTTTCGATTCTATCGAGATAATCGGGACTATATCCTATCTCGTTCGGTACTAGATAAAAAAATCATTGTGTATTTTTTTCGCTTCTAGACACAAGTGTGAACAAAACCTCTAGCTTCATATTGAAGATGTTCAAACGCGCTTACGTACGTATATGTATTTGACTATAATTACGTTAGCTATATTGAGAGATATTCATATATTATCATAAATCCTGTAACAAGCTGACCTAAACGATCGTAAATAAGAACTTACAAGCATTGGTAGCAAACATAACAAAAAAAATTACCATTCAATACTTCTATATCCTTTCACGCAGCAATGTATGCTTTTGAATTTGTCAGAGAAGCCATAATCCAGAGGCACGGGCTCCTTGGTGAAGTGCATCGAAGAGGAATTGTCATTGAAAGTGTTCATTGAGCAATAGCCAGCAAATACCGTTTGCACGGTAGCTGCAACGCATAGCATCAAAGCCCACATTTTTGGTCTTCCCATCCTAGAACAAAAAACAGTAGTTTAAATTTTGAAAACTTATGGAAATAAGCGAATTAGGTACCTATAAGCAATCTTCTCTTTTTTTTGTGATATCAAGCGACGAATAGAACAATTCGTGCGCCTGTCTGGTCATAAGCGACGCACCTGTCCATAGCAATTGAAGTGCAACTCAGAGCTTAAAATCACAAAGATCTGACGGATACTGTAACTAAGTCCGCCACCCTAAGACATAAGTTGACAAGTCTCATGTGCCAGTAATTTCACCAACTTTCTGCTTGGCTTTACTGCTTGGCGACGGAAATAAGATGGCAGTACTTCACTGGACGAATCTTTCACAAGGAGCTCTACTGCTACTAAAATTCTCGACTCTAAACATAACTCTAAACGTAATAATGTGGTTCTTTATTCGAATTATCAATGAAATGGTTGGCAAGGTTTTACTCCAATCCCAAATTGAGCACAGCTCCCGTTTAACTTTAAATCTCCAACAAGACTTAACAAATGCTTTAATTGATGTTCTTCATGTCCATGTAATTTCAGATTAAATTTCAAAATAAAAGACTAGAAAGGCTTCTCTAAACATAAAAAGCTAGTAGACACAACATAGGAATTTATTATTACTTTAGTTTTCAGATTAAATTTCTAAATAAAAGACTAGAAAGGTTTCTTTAAACATAAAATACCTGTTGTACACAGAATAGACGAGTTTATATTATTACTTTAGTTTATGTCTAGACTAAACTATAGCTTATATCCTTCATAACAATTATGGGACATTTCCGCTAGACAATAATTGTCTTTACCCAGGAGGGGGCGACTGGTATAAGAAACCAGTAGATTAACAATAACCGTGACGCTATAGAAAGTCCAAGGTTTATGATAACAACGGCTCAACCATAACAATTCCAAGTAAAGGACCGCGCCGCCGCCGACAGTATTTGTTTTCCTTTGTCATAGTCCTGGTAAGTCGGTAAGGAGATATAAAATTGTATTAAAACAATAAACTGCAGGTCTGGCAGGTAATAGATTTGCAGTGGCTGATCGTATGACTCTAATGGCAGCTGATTAGATTGAATGAGTCATGTCTTTTTTTTAAAAGAAAAAAGAAATTGAAATTAAGTAAATGTCTCATATTCGATGCCTTACTTTCTGAAACTCGTATCTTATAAAGAGTGATTTATTCAGGAGATGGCAAAACTTTCCATTTCAAATTTCTTATCAAGGATGTAATTTGGATGCCTTACTTTAAGAATATGTAGGTAAAAGCCAGTGTGTGAATATGAAGGAAATGTGATGTGAAATCAGCGTGCAAAATTTGTATAAACAATCCATTTTTTGCATTGCAAGATACTAGTTTGAGGAAGTATATCGACGATATTGGGTGTTAGTTTCAATTGGCTTAAGATTTATGTAGAAAAAGGCGACAAAAATTAGATACATCAGTATTTTAAGTTTGCAGATGTGAACGAACGAGCCCATTTATCGTGGTAATTAAATGTTCCGCAACAAACATTACGTATAAATGAAGACTAAAGACTAAACATAAAGAATCATGTTATAAATATAAAACCTAGAATATGTTGTACTAAGCCAGCGATTGCAGGCATTCTAACGTATTGCGCGCTGCGTGACCTATAACTTCTACGAACGCGGTGACTGGGCCCTTGATTCTCGGAAAACCAATGATTTGCCTTTAATGCTTTATACGAATGTTAAGTTTTTAGTACTTGTAAATTGTATATCTAAACACTCGATTACGGAACAAGGAGTGGCTTTTCGAGTTAAAGTAATTTTATGTTTCTTCGATATTACTTTAAGATCACCTCTCACGGAAGAATGACATAAGTGGAGTTACGTCAAACATGTTTATTGCTCCATAACATACAGAAAAATATAATCCACATAATCTCCAATTATTGTAACTCTATCTACAAAATTAGTCGATACAATTACAAGAATTGGAGAGGATGTGGATTATAATTTTCTGTATCTAATGGAGCAATAAACATGTTTGACGTAACTCCGCTTATGCCATTCTTACATGAGGGGTGTGTAAGATGAAATGTCTTTAAATTTGAAGGCCTTTTTTATTTTTTTTAACGCACACATAGCCTCGCACTAAGGAAACCCTGTATCCCGGGTGATATGGACACACACATAGCTAGACAACGACTAATTACACTTAAATTCACGAGAGAAATAAGTGCAGGTCTTACAAATGTTTTTCCCGGCCCGGGAATCGAACTCGGCATCTCTGCGTGGCAGTCCAAGATGGTAACCGTTCGGCCACGGAGTTAGTTAATGTTCATTCCTTTATGTGTTTACCTACAGTACTATATTATACTAGCAGTATTAAGTTTATTTATATAACTAATCAGGTGCTAAGCTTTGTAACAATGCAATGTGAATAATGTTAAATATGCGATTTATCGAACAATGACTAATTAAGAATAAATGTAAGGCATAGGTAACGAGTTCTTGAGTTTTCGCGATTGTTAGACATAGGAAATAACGATAACTGATTGAAGACTATCATCTCAGTCAGCCGTGATCTGTAAAGGGCCTGAAACGTTGGTTTGTTTGACGACAGACCCGAGAAAATTCGGAAAAATAGTTTCATTTCCATTGAAGACGTAGATATATCGCTGGGTCCTATGTATAAGGGCCAAAGCGCAAAATTACAATTTTACAGGAGCGGCTTCCAAACTTTCAATCTGGTATAAATTTCAAGATTTCCGTATATTTCGAGGTTTCCTTGAATATTATTTATATATAGATTTTGTTTTAATGCTACCTTATAGATTATAATGAAATGAAGCATTTCCCACAAAAAAGTGAAAATGATCAAATTGTTAGTTGGACCTTATACTTAGGAAATTTAGCTTCTATAAAAACAATTAACTGCCTCCGTGACCGAACGGTTACCATCCTGGACTGTCACGCAGAAATCTCTTTTATTTCTCTCGTGAGTTTGGGCGTAATTTGTGGTTGTCTATGTGAGTGTCCATGCACTCCAGCCACCAGCACTCGCGATACAGGGTTTACCTATGGTTAAGGGGCTATGAAGGTGTGCGTAAAAAATGCAATATTTCAGTTTAACCTTCAATTGTAATTTACTGACAATATAAATAAAGGTAGGTATATTTCAATTTAAGAGATGTCTATTTATAATTAGAACAAGGCACACGAAAACAAATGAAGCACAAGATATTTGATAAAATAAATAAAAAGATTTTACATAGCCCATGCTCCTTCTATGATGCGATCGGCTCTATGTTATTGTAACTGCATGAAAATTACCTTACCTACTTCTGCCGTTAAGTAGCAATGTTGTCATTGATTCTTTCCGGTTTTGAAGAGTGAGGCTCCTGGTGAAATTACAGGCACATGGGACTTGTCAACTTACGTCTCAGAGTGACGGGCGCAGTGGCAGTGCCCCTCAGATCTTTATGATTTAAAGCTTTGAGCTGCACTGTAACTGTCATGGACAGGCGTGTCGCTTATCACCATCATCATCAGTTTTAATGTCTCCAGCATCACATATCCTACTGTTATAACAGGAAATGAGAAGCTGGAGACAGTTGACCAGTATGTTTATCTTGGGTATATTCTATCCTTTGATAAAGAGCATCAGCAAAATGAAATCACAAAACGCATACAACTGGGATGGACTGCATTCGGCTGGCTGGATGACATCTTCAAATCGGTTGATACTCCAGAGTGTTTGAAGTCCCGCTTAATTAACCAATGTGTCTTGCCCACTATGACTTACGGTGCTGAGACGTGCACGCTCACACAGAAGGGCGTGTACAGAGAGTATGAGAGTCGCACACAGAGCCATGGAGCGAGTCATGCTCGGCATCAAACTTTTAGATCGAGTTCCGAATTCCGAAATGCGCAGACGAGCTAAGGTCCAGGACATAGGACATCGGATAACGAGTTTACAATAGAGCTGGGCAGGACATGTTGCGAGACGTGGTGAACACAAGTGGAGTAAGGCGAGAACCGAATGGTGGCCAAGAAATTGATATAGAAACGTGAGACGTCCTGTAGCGAGTTGGGTGGACGACATTGTCAAAGTTGCGGGCAGTAGATGAGTTACATTAGCACGGGATCGGCAAGGATGGCACAAACTACAGGAGGCCTATACCCAGCAGTGGGCGAAGTCGTGCTGTGGATGATGATGATGACTGATTATCGCGTACTTAGTTTATTCGCTAAATCAATTACTGTAGTTATTATTTAGAGCGGGTAAGTAAGGTCTGTTTTTCGGCGGGGAAGAAGTTTGACAGGTTGCCGGTTGTGAAATTGCAATTACAACCGATTGTCTCTAAATTTAACTATTTAGACGTCATCATTCACCGCCTTAACCGGGCTTAACGAATTTATAATGACGAACGTATAAACCAATTATCAAATAATTCCTGCCGCAATTAGTGACGAGGGTGTCTCTCTCAACGTCTCTCCTTTTACGTCTTATTCCGACATACATTTTTTTGCTTGTGAGGATTTTAGTGTTAGTGAAATAGACACGTATACATAAAACGATTATTAAGTATTTAAAGATTGATTATGTTACTAACCTAACCTTTAAAGGTGTCAGGTCTGGGCAGTTTCCTGTGGTCAGTAGATTTAAAATTTTCCTTCATTCTATCCGGTTGAGGCTTTCTGAATAGGATTATAATGTCGATTTAATGTTCATAGCAATGTAAGAAATTGTAGTGCCTGGTTTGCGTTCGCCTCATTACAAAGTAACGACTTGTTTTTTTTCTTGTGCTGTTGTCGGCATGTGTCCGTTTACAAAGGACAGGGGTTTATTGAAACCTACATTGCTTTTTATATATTCAGTTTAAAAATGGTAATTGAATCCCAAGACCGACATTACTTATAAACGAAACTAGGTTTTGTTTGTGACTGTACTTCGTTTCTTTTAGCATTCGATAGAAGGAAATTTTGTCTTTTATCAGGAGCTATT